TACTTGAGGTTTGTTAGCAGCTGGGGAGCATTTGGTCGGAGAGCACTCGTGCTTCTCTGTGACACGTTTTTGATCAAGATGTGGCTGTAATCTGAAATGGGAAATGCTTTGCCTGGTGCAGGAATGCAGCTGCCCTCGGGGGGCAGCACCACAGCTCACATCACCAAGAAGCACTCAAGAATTGCATTAAGATGCAAGCCACAGCACAAGCTGTGCAGCCTCCCCGTGCCTCAGTTTCCCCACTGGGTTTGATTGCTCCTAGGACCTGCCCAGAACTGGCCCTTTAGCTGAGACTTCCCATCGCTGGTAGCTTACCTGGGAGCCCCTACACTGTGCTGGGAGGGAAGGGCTGAGCCTTCCCCTCTAGCAGCATCACTGTAAAGCCACTGTAGCTGATTCTTTACCCTCAGACTGAGATACCCGCTTTTCTCTGCCTTTTTTTATCTGCCTTTGCCTTTCAAGCCCTCAGCCCCCCAGCACACATCCTGCCATCCCAGCTCTGCCCGGTAGAGGAGGATGGGGACAGTTGCATAAGACACACACTGTCCTCCAGCCCGCTCCCGCATCGGCATTCATGCTGCACAGCCCCTATTATCGGGCTTGCAAATGACACTTAATTTCCCTTCCAAAGCCCTCCCTATAATTTAGCAGCAATGTCCTGTACTCAGATATTATTAGCTGTGTCTTACGTGAACAGTTGCCCTCTTTCTGATAGCAGGGGGGAGATAATGGACTTGATCGGGACAGCAGACAGGGCCCGAGTGCCTTCATCTTTAGTTTCTAATTGACCTGGCTGGCTGGGGTAGGAATGGTGTTAAACAGGTTCTGCTTCAGCCAGTCTCATTCCTCTGTAGCTGGCACTGTGAGCTCAGGGAGGATTCCCAGACCTTTGCACTACTGGAGCAGGGTGTCTTAGGAGGTGACCTGCAAAGGCAGTGGACATAGGGCTTTCTAACCTTCAGGTAGCTGTGATCTATTCCGAGACCCATTACTCGGAGAGCCTCAAAGCCACAGAGCTCTTTTGTTATATCCCATTCCTGCATAGTTTTATTGTGCTGGGCTGAATACAAGGTGACCTTGGACCTAAGCTACACCGCACATACCCCTGCACGTGCTCTGTCAAGAGCAGAGTGAAAAATGAACTGTGAAAAGACAAGCTTCAAATACACTGACCTGCCCCAACCCATGGCTGTCCATGCTGTGAGCAGCTCAGCACATGCTGTGCTGCCTTCCTGACCTTTCCTGCCCATGCCTCGTCCTCCAGCCAGCACGCTTTTTCCAGCCCAATACAGGATGCTATATGGGGAATCTCTGGTGGCTCCACAACCATGGAGTAACACTTGGCTTGGTCTGCAGCTCCTCCTGCTCCTCCATCATAGTTCAAACGCACGTGAACAACCAAACACAGTGTCCCCACTTTCTAAATGACACTTTGCTCTTGCCCTAGCAGGCAATAAGGTGGCTGTGAGAGGTTTCTGCTCCAGCAGAGTGGTCCCTAGGATGCTTCTCTAGTGCACAGCAAGGAAAATAACCTCCAGGCAGGAGGTGGTAGGGTTGTCTTCAGCAGGCACAGGGCTCTATACACTAGGCTTCTCTTATACTCTTTCATCTGCTCCTGGCCACACTTGAAGATGGTTTTGCACTTGATGGCATTACTGGTTTTCTGAAGATCTCCTGCCTTAGTAAGTTCACTGGCCATAGGCAGACTTTGCTGCTGGGTATGGACAAGCACAAGAATCAGACCCCAGGGACCCAGGGAAGGAGCAAATGAGGGAAGTGGAGCGGCGAGGTGCTGGACAGGGTTAGGATTTGGAGAATGCTGCTAGAAACTCAGCTTCCTCTCCCTGGACACTGGAGAGAGAACATTTTCCTTCCTCCCACGTAGCCACCTTGTACTGGCGATAGATGAGGAATTAATGCTCCAGCATTGTTAATATTTTCTGCATGTACTTGTACTCCACAGTGCCATAAGTTTGTGAAAAGGATTTGCATCTGGCTAAGTAAACACATTAGAGATTCAGTCTATAGAGGAAGACTTAGAAGATCATCTTCTGTTGACCTCTCTCTTCCTGATTATCATCCTTCGGTCGAGCAGACGCTCAGCTCCACAGCAGGGATAGCAGATGCTGGCTTTTTCTCAGCTCTGTTTCAGCAAGAATGTAATATCCCCACTGATAATTAAAGACAAAATCCAGGGCTTTGCTGGAGGCCATCTCTGCTGCTGACCTAGGAACGTAATCTGGAGCTTAGTAAAGATTTTGCTCATTTAAAACCAGGAAGGGCCACTGGGCTCAGTAACCAAGGGAGAGAGAAACCCCCAGCCTGAGTCAGACCAGCTTGTGCTGTCATTTCTTCTGGCTCTGATTCAGTTCTCCTGGGAAGGCACCCAGCGGGGCCCTGCTCCTTCTCCACGTACCTGAGGTTGCTCCATCAGCTGGCTTCAAAGCTTCAGCGCTGCTAGAGATCTCTTTGAAGTGTCCTGTGTTCACCTGAGACCGCAAAACATAAAGCGGGGAGGAGGATGAAAGCGAGGAGAGGGAAAGCGCAGGGGGCTTTTGGAAATGTGATGGACACGGCCCCTGAGTGCTGGATCAGTTCAAATCCTGGGGGCTTTGGGAAGATCAGAGCGCCTGCCCCTGAAGGGATGGGAGGAGAGGGCAAGAAAAAGGGTGGAAAGAACCAAGCCCCAGTGTCACCAGAGCCCTTGCAGGATGTTGCAGGAGGCTTGTGGCACTCTGCTGACAGAAGGGGACAGGCTCAGCTCCCACACAGGCAAAGGAGGTGGCAGCAGCCACAGGAAGGGGGAGCAGAGCTTTCTCCAGCTAGCTCTGAAAATTAGTTGGGTTTGGTTAGTTGGATTTAGACTCTGAAAGCCTCTTCAACACATCCCCATCCATTGTGGAGCTCTGCTGTGGTCTCCATAGCTATTCCTCCTAGGGATTAATTCACAGCTTAAGACTTCACTTTCCAGGTTCTGATCTTTGGCTTTAACTTTGACAACTCGTTGCGCCTGGTCCAAGTGAAATGAACTGACTAAATGAACCCAGAGGCCTCAGAAAAGAAACCAGAGCCACGACAGAGAATGATGACATACTCCTTGGGGTTGAAGGAAACACCAGGGTGCCTCCTGCAAGGCCTTTCCCTTCTCCCACCTTCACACTCAGAAAAGCACCCAGCTCAGCAGAATTTCTCAGCAATAACCTTAACCCTGCAGACGTCAAGGTGCTGATGAGGACCCAGAGAGGTCTGTGCCAAGTGTCAGAGCCTTTCAGTGGCTGTGATGGTCTCTTAAAGATGATGCCACATGGGTGCCTTAGCCAGGAATAGCTGATTGTGAAGCCACCTATGATTCAAAGCCATCAAATAATGGAGGTCCCACTGCTTTCCTGCACAGGTTGCTCCAGTGGTCAATCCATAGGGAGAAAAAACCTAACAGTATTCCAGTCACATTTGCATTTTTCTGCCTTCACATGTGGCCCTTGTAGCCCCTTTCTCTGCTGGACCCTATACCCCTGGGAAGGTATCTGTATGGGACATGCAAATCACCTCACTCGAGGTGAACATTTGGTTACAGGGAGCCAAATGAGGACCAGGATCATAGGGAGAAGTGGGCAGGAGATACTGATGCCAGGAGAGGCTCTTGGGAGTTTCCTTGGGGTATCAAAGCTGTTGATCTCTACAGTGTCTGTCCAGAAGGATGTGGTGGTGCTGACAGCTCTTCTTTCCTGTCCAGGATGCTGCTGGGGGTGGATTAGCACTGATTTCACTGGCTCTTGGTATATTAAGAAACCTCCAAAATACACAAATGAGTGAGTGGAGGAGGTGAGCTCACGTTGGTGATTATCGGCACTCTGATCAGAGACACGTTGTAATTGTGTGGTCTGTGTTGTTGGTAATGAGATGATCTTTATCACTGCTGAAATAAGCTGGAGCTATCCCTAGTGGAGTAGAAGAACTGAGCAAACCCTGCATCCTCCCTCCTGCCTTACCTGCTGGCCAGCTAAAGCAGTGTGCACACAGAGTGCATGGTGTCTGGAGGAGCTGAGCATCCCTGCTCCCGATGCCTCCCTCCCACTGCCAGCGGCTGGCCCCTTCTTCGGGCAGCAGGGTTTTATCTGCCCAGACCATGCTGCCTGTTAAGCTGTATTTTCTCACCATCACGGTGATTTCTGATGCCTCTGTTGCGTTGACTCCCAAACCCTGACATCCCATGAGCCTGCCAAGATTTCCTGCAATCTGGCAGCACATTGTACCCAGGAATATTGCTAATGAAACAGCTTTGAGAAGTGTGGAAGGATGAGAGCTGCTGCACCTTCCCTGGGGGTTTCTGGGGACATTACAGAAGCTGTGGGTAGATGATCCTGAAGTGTGAGGAGGGGATTTTTGCTGAAGCTTGGTCCATGAGTTTGGAACTGGATCTCAGCCCTGTTCTGGGACCCTGGGGAGCTGCACATTTAGTAACGCACTCTGGTGACCTCTCCTGTTGCTGCAAGAAGTTATTAGGAAAGAATAAGAGAGTAGGGAAAGTCTCTGTGCCACTGTATAAATCCATGAACATGAATCCTTAACAATGTGTTTCATCCCCACACTCAGCTCCAAAGGCGTGGCAGAACATGGGAGAGGCAGCAAGGATGGCCACTGCTGAGTGGTGTGTCTGTACAAGGAACAAGGGGTATGGGACTGTTTGGCCTTGGAGCATCTTTGCTGCATGCAGCAATCACACCTTGGCTGACATATTCTCAACATATGTGCAGAGTCCATGGTGTTATCCATAATGTTATCACTGGAGATGAGAAGAAGACTGACATTGCAGAGCTGGAGAGGGTAGGAATAGCACCAGGCAAACAAAACTGGCAGGTGTGATACCACCACAGGTCCTATTTCAGAGAGCAAAAAAAATTGCTTGGAGGGGAAGAGCTCCAAGCCTTTGTGAGCATGTGCTTCTCCGTCAGCAGAAATATGCTTTAACACGTGCCACATTAAATCTTTTCTCTTTTCAGATCCTCCTAATATGAAATCAAATGTGTCTTGATTGAGCATAAGAAGGAGAAAATGGAAGGTGCATGGCACAGGGCTGATGACAGGAAATCTCTCTCTTGCTCTGTCTCAGGGACTTACTTCCCCAACTTTGCCAGCCACTGAGCTCCTCCAGAGAGGCAGTAGAAAGTCTATGTACCAGTCAGACAACGAGCCATCAGTGCTTCAATGATTCAAAGCCATCAATGCCAGGCACGTGGGTACCATGTAAACAGCCCCTGTGGTAATGCACAGTTTGTTCCACCTGGGAGATGGTGTCTGCTCCTCGAGTCTGCAGCCAGAGTGTTCCAGGCAATGGAGGCCAATTACCTTGCACATCGAGCAATTTGGGAGTGATTTCACGCTTCCTGGGTGTACCAAAGCCGTGCCCAGAGAAACCACCCTTCTGGAGCAAAGATGCTAAGCATCAAACAGGACTTGAAGTTTCCAGTGTTTAATTTCCCATTTAGCCAAGGCAATTAAAAGCATCACCATGTAACGCGGATGATTTTCTCCTGCATTTTTATTTGCCTGTGTTCTTCAAAAGAGTGCCTCAGAAGCAATCACATCCATCCTGCAGCAGTGTCCTACTGCGGCATCAACAAGCCCGGCTGCTTGTCCTGTCAAGGGCATCTGAATGTCTCCTCCATAACTACAGAGCCCTGAAAGCCCAGGCCCTAAGAAGATGCCCTAACCCACCTGGAGAAACCAGTGTCCTGGTACACCTCCATACGAGATGGCTGTTTGGATGTTGGTGTAGCCAGCAAAGGAAGGAGGATGAAAATGAATTTTGAGGATACAGCCACTGACTGGGGTGGGAGGGTTCTGAGAAGAAAGAGCCAGAGTCTTGGGGATGCCAAGTGAAAGGAAGAGAGCAATGGATGCAAGTTGTGACCAGTGAAATTCCAATTAGATGTTAGGGAAGAAATTCACCCCTCTGATGGTCAGACATTGGCACAGGTGGGGAATCTTAGTCCTTAGAGATATTCAAGAGATATCCTTAGAGATATTGGCTGGATGAAGCCCTAGATCTAACTTTGCTCTGCTTTTAGGGGTGTTGAATCAGAGGCTTCCAGAAAGGTTCCTTCCAATCTAAATTATTCTGTGACCCAATGAACGAGTCATGTCTGGGCAATGACACCAACAAGACTGAGGGATACAGTCCTGGAGTTAATGGTCAAGGCTGCCCACAACTGGAGGACATCTGGGAATATCTGCCCTAGTGTCCCACTGGTGGATACATCCCACTAGAGAATGAGTCTAAGTTTCCCCATGCCTCCCTGGTGGTCCCATGTAGTGCCAGACTTCTGAGGACTTTCGTCACTGAATCTGCTTGGCTGAAGCCATGGGATGCTTGGAGCTCCATAGCCAGTACCAGAGATGTGGTGACTGCTGGATGGCCCTCTTTGAGCTTTGCTGCCTAGGCTGTAGGCAACACTGGCTGCTGTCTCGTCTGGAGGGGTTGCACAGCAGCCTCAGGCAGGGTTACAGGGATAAATGCCTGGTGGTAGTCCTGCTTCAGGCCAGGCATGGCAGGGGTGGCTCAAGGCATCAGCTTCTCTCTAAAAGATGGAGAACATCACAGATGAGTGTAAAACAGGTGAGAGCTATATGAATGGGATAGTAAAGGTCCTGAAATCAGAACACAAATGACTCAGCTCTACACCAGCATGTGAAGTTTGCTCCAGGTGCAGGTCATGCCTTCATCTGACCATTCCCTGGACCCTGGCTGCTCCTTAGGGCATGTTTATTGTCAGTGCTGGCTCTTGAGGAACTTTGAAGTGTGTTTCCTTCCATTCAATTATCTCTGGGAGCTGTGAAGTGCAGCAGCAGAGGTGGATGTATCATTCCATTTGTTCCCCTGCAGCAGACAGGTTTTTAACCAAGTAATTAAGGGTTGGTTTCGCTTGTACCTGAGAATCAACCAGTGAGGCAGAGATAAGGTAACAGCAACGCAGCAGGTACTCCGCTATTATTTCTGGCTATGAATTAATCAGAGACACTATGACTCTGCGAATAAGTGCATTGATCATGTGCTACAACAGTAAGGATTTCAACCAGTTACGCTCTTTTCCTCTCTAGAAAGACTTTGGAGACTGCAGACTTAATGAGTACGAGTCCAAGCTCTTCCCAGAACACTAATAGCATCCCCTTAAAAGAAATCCATCCATTTATTTTGTGCCTGCTGAAAAACCTGTCTCTGCTAACTGCCCATATCTGGGCTCTGCTGAGGGAGACTGAACTCTCCGATTCATAGGAGGATCCAAGCTGTTCCCTCGGAGAGCCTGGGGAAGATTAAAAGCAGCTGAAAGCAAATCATGCTGGCTTGACGAATGGTGTTTGGATGCTGTCATGTCGTGGTTGCTGGCACAGTCTTCCTTGAAGCTGTAGCATGAGTCTCATGAAAATCAATGCTTTGAATAAAGCCTCAGGGAGTCAAGGGGTGAGCTGAGAATCCCACTTTGCCTTTCTACTTTGTTTTTTTATAGCTCCATAGTGATGGGGATGAAGCCCTAAACTGGGAAATGACGTTTGATGGCCCTGAAAGGCTCAGAGGAAAAGAATCATTGAAGCAAAATGGGTTCTTACCTTTTGAAGCCAGGTATGTGGTTTTTGAACCCCTGAAATTCAGTCTCTGGCGTGAAGAAAGGAGGGAAACTCAACACTGGGCATTCCTTTACCCAGAGCAAGACAAGCCTGAATTTTGGAGACTTTAAATATTGTTTATTTAATCATCCTGTCACTGCACCCAGGAATGGTCACCATGGCATGAGTGCCATGGGGACGGGATGACATGAATGCGTATGAAGCCAGGCTTTGTTGCTCCTCTTTCCAGAAAAGCAGTGATGATGGTGCTGAGGAAAAAGCCAGATGTGCATCCCATCAGGCACAACTCCAGCCTGTGCCCAGGACCCTGTACCATTCCCACTGCACACTTGGGATGAGTGGCACAGCCGTGAGAGTGAGTGGTAACAGGGAGGGTCTGACTGGACCAGGATCATCTCTAGATGGCTGCTGTCGCGTGCTTACATCTTCATGTGGCTTCCAAGGAATAAGGGTGATTAAATGCAGCCATGGAGGAGCCACATTTAGCAGTGTGTTTCCCCCACTCCTAAGTAGGTACTTGAGGAAATAGTCCATGATATCAAGTGAAGTTTTGGGCAAGTTTTTTTCCTCTTGGAACAAGGATGATCTATGCAAAGGTAGAAACAGATTCAGAAAATCAAAGGTAAGTTCTGTGCAGACTCTCTAGCCCTTACTGAAATACATTCCAATTTGAAAGGGTTTGGGCTTTATTATGTACTAACAGCGTTTGGTCTGTGTATTTACATCGTAAACTCTTTCACACCAAGACTACCTCCCAGTTTGTCCATCTGGGAATTGGTGGTGTAATATTCAGTGGAAACTCGGCACATGCTGTTTTGTAACAAACAGAAAATTCCCACACATTCCTAACGACTCCAATAGGCAGGATTGTTCACTCCAGTTTCCCACCCAAACAAACACGGGAAACAGCTGTCACAACCGACTTACCTTCAAGAGCTGAAAATTCCAGCATGGGCTGCATTGGAAAGTTCAACATTGACTTCCGTTGCACTCCCAAACTACTTAATTCTCAGCATGGGTCAAGCAGTGTGTTTCCCTTACGTATTCTGGTTTTACCTAGTTAGCCTTTATTTGAATTTATATGTTATAAATTAAAAATTTTAATAATTCAAAGAAAAGCTGATTTTTTTAGAGCCATAAAAAATATATTAAAAAAGAACATGGACTGAATCAAAGTGTTTTCATCGTGGGTTTTTTGTTTGTTTCAGATGGAATAGCTGCCTTCAGCAGGCTTCGGCAAACATTTGGCAGGGTGACCCACTTTTGGCTCACTTTTCCCACTTGCAGATGGACCCTTATTACCACAGCTGGTGGAACTGAGGATAACGAAGATGGGTCCAGTCATGGTAGGATTTACCTGCTTGCTTGTAAACACCTATTACTGATATGAAATCATTTCCTAGACTTTCCCAGAACTTTAACTCAGTGATGAATAAGCTGCCTTAAGTGATAGACAGCACAACCCAGGAAATTCCTTCGCATTCAAGTGGTAAATATTTAAACATTGGTTTCACAGCAAAGAGCCCCTGGGTCACAAAGGTCTTGCTTGGTTTATTTGTTAATAGTTTTCATTTACTGAATAAGATGTACAGAGGAAAATGAGAAAACACAGCAATAATAAATACGTAGCTGCCAAGACATTCCTGGAGGATTCAGACTTAGAAACCCTCAGTGTTATCATCAAATAGGAGGGATTCAGATGAGAAACATAGAAATTAGTGCTGGGGAGTTCTGCTTGAACTTAGTGTCCATTCTCCCAGAGATGCCAGAGATGCTGGGGTTAGAGATAGGGCAAATTAAAAACACAAAAATAAGAATTTTCCTGGCTAATTCAAGATAAGCTGTATTTTCTGGCATATTTCTTGTATATACTCTTCTGACCCTTCATTTTCCAACTCTGGAGGATAGCTCCAGCATGAGTATCTTCTGGGCCTCCGATGCAGAACACCTTGGTGGGCTGGCTGTGACACATGTACCAATGGAGTGGATATGCCACTTTGACCACAGGAGGTTGGTCCATCCATCCATCAGGATACCATGCCCTAAATGTCTAGGAGGGTGGGAGAGAAGCCTAAATAATCTTGAACAGCACAAAGAAATGGCAATTAGTAGTTATACTGTGCTCCTCATACCGTGAAAAATGGTACCAGTGAGAGGATCAGAGGATTTGGAACAAGCAAAAGGATGTACTTTTTCACACATTGTGTTACTGAATTATGGATGTTATTGCTCCAGGCACAAGTGTAATAGATCGAAAAGCAGCCTGGGAATTTCACAGGAGAAGCATCCTTTGGGGCCTGTCAATAGCTCTATGTCAGCCTCCACTTCAGGCATCCATCAGTCACAAATTGCTGGAAACAAGGAAGAAACTTCAGGAGATAATCACTTGAGACTCGTTTTTTCTCCCCTAAACTCCTGCTACAGTCCCCTACCAGTGCCAGACACGCGTGCACGATGAGATGGACTTCTGGTGTATCTTTTCTTGGTTTATGCTCCTAAATGGCAATACCTTAACTCCTACCCATGGCAGAGCCTTTCCTTCTACTAGGCTGGAAATTCTCACCATTTCCAGGAGGAACACCAAACAGGCTCAGACCACCAAGCCCTTGGAAGCCAAGATATGGTTTTGACTTAGAAACCATGAACATTGAGCTGGTGACTGAAGCAGGTTTTGCTCAAAGCCTGTGCTCAAACATTTTTCTGCCCTAACAAGGGCAAGGAACTTGGATTTTCTTGCTATCAAGAGAAAATGAAGCACCAGGCCACTTTATAGGCTCCTAAATGCCACCTTGGAAACAACCTGGCTTCTCTCCGGCTTACGCCTGTTATCCAATTCCCAGTTGAAGGCACCCAGAGATACTAAGAACCATTCTCCTTGAGTTTGCTCTTCCCATTTAT